TTCAATAATAGATTTGCACTATCCGGGAACATTATTTGATATCTTAGGTCGTATTCCTTTATAGATGTCTAATACTAGATATATATCATGTCTACGCTCGCCGAATGGTCGTTGCCTGTTTCAATATCGTACACAACCAAATACGTACGTATAAGAAAGTACTCTGTAAATTTCTTGATTATATTTTTTTATGCCTGCTGGACCGGTAAGCCCAAAATCGAAAATGAAAGCATCAATAATACCGTAAACTGGTATAAATAAGCATCACCCTATTTCAATCCAAACAATGAACAACAGTGAATATAAGCACCACTAGATTTAAATTACAAAAATATCGATATATCTAAAATCGCTTTAAATGGCAATAATTCTAAATTGTAAGAAAATGTCCAAAAACGAGTACCGCCTCGTTTTTAGAACCAAAAAGTGGTGCCTATTCATGGCAGTTTACGGTATACATGTGTATTCGCAGGGTGAAAATCGCGATGCACAAGTTTCTCTGGATTCTTCTCAGCCCATTGATATTTGTAGCTGGGTTTAGTATTAAACACAAGGTTAAAAGTAACGCCCGGTCCAAAATTATATAATAAAGCATATAAAAAATATCTTCAAGCTATGTATATATCTAAATTTTTTATAAGAATTATTTCTAAATTTTATATCATTTTAAAGCTAATTGATTGTATTTTGATTGGAAAGTAAAAAATTTTTCTCACGCTTTATATATGTAAAAAATTTTTTTACCACGTTTTATATATGAAAATTGCAAATTTCAAATTATATATACATATATATATTTATATTAGTTCTTTCGTTTTAAAGTTCCATAAGTCTTGTTTATTTTTTCAAAAATACAATTGATTAGCTTTAAAATGATATGAAACTTTGTTTTAACAATAATAAAATCAACAAAAAATTTTTTATATGTACATGTATTTTACTATATAAATTTAAATCGGGCGATACTTTTTTGGGGTTCTGTACATGCCCATTTCGTTAATCTATTTTATTCGCTTCAAAATTCTATGCGATATTCGCTTTTATTTTTTATTATTATTTTGATTTTGCTTTTGATTTCGCTTTTGTTTTAGATTTTTATTCAATCTTAAATTCTCTCTTAAACAATAGAGTGCATTATGCGATAGATTCTAGAACGATACTTTACGATATAAACAGAATTAAAATCGCATACAATTCTTCTCCAAGTAAAAGGCATTATTATTGATATTCTTAACGGAAGCTTGATTGTTTTGTTTGAAAAGCGCTTTGTGGGTTGAATAGGTTAAGGCTTTTAGCTAGAAAAAGCAACGATAAACCCGTCACGTAAAGCATATATAAAACCTAAAACCACCTCACCTAAAAACCCGAACCCTCCAAATTTCCATCTGAAACTCCTCTCTGCCGTCATGCTGAACGATATCCCTCGATATCAGCGCAGGAATTGGAAATCAACGAACACCATTCAGTCTCCCAACCCATTGTCGCAGGTATAATCGCGATTACGCCTAATTACGATTACCCGTAACAGTAATCAGTCAATAATATGAGTAAAGTATTTACATTTGACAATTGTATGTCCGTAAATTTGGCAAACGATCATTTGAATATGGCGTTGGAAGTAAACATGTAAAAATAGACATTCAAAGGGCATTTAATAAAATAAAAATGACTATTATTGAACAATTCTAGGCGAAATATGTTTTTGAAAAGGACAGAGAAAATGACTGTATGTGGCTAAATGGAGCCACATTAGCACACTGATCTTCAGTATTGGAATCAAAATAGAATAAAATTAAGTCATAAAGCCCACCAGTACGATACTTATTATTCAACCGAATGTTGTGATCTCGAGGGCCCAATACACAAACCAAACGGACAATAATAACAACTGATATGATATAATAAATTATATTTGCGAAAAATGAGAAATGCATCCAGTCAAACTGATTATAACGAAGGTGGCCGGATCATTAGTAAAAATTTTTGAACTAATACCAATTCTTCATCAAAGGCCAAGATTCATAGTGAAAAAATGAGAGACACGATATTGCAGCAATTTGTATTTACATTGTAAAGATTTTAATCCAATGTTTCACCGTCACTATTTATTACCACTATCGCTATCGCTATTATCCTGTACTTTACTATTTTAGGATTTGGAATGTCATATTCATCAACGAAAACGGCAAAAATTTCGGCAAAGAAAGAATCTGACGTAGCCTTATTAGAAGTTTCTAGGCTTTAGACTCGCCTAAGTTTTAGCAGAATGGTATTATAACCTGTTATCAATAAGGCGTATAAACTTCTTGAATTATATAATTTCGAAGAAATATCGACATTGCGGACATATATTCACAGGTAATAGAAGACGCTATCTTTTATTTTATAATTTTTGAGTTTATTTCGCACAGTATATAAATTAAAAAAGTCGAAGAAGTTGAAATGGTGACGTTCGGAGAACCTCGAATAGGAAACAAAAAATTTTGCCAGTTGACAAATTATTATCTGTATATCTAGTAACGTGCGCAGACGATTATGTGCCTTTATTATTTTTTCGAGAAAAACTTCATCATTATACTAAATGCCGAATAATGAATGCTCATGTGAACAAGCTTAATCTTCAATAAATGTTTGCTAAAAACAGCAAAATTGTAACGCACGAAAGACCTTTATATTGTCACTATAATTCTATGTTGCCAATTTTGGTAATGTTCAATATACAGAAAATTGTTTAATAAAGATTAAATTAGATCGATACAGTATATAATGTTGCGTCTTACTATAATGATCCACTAAAGAGGGATTTTCGCAACGAGGATGAGAGCTAGAGTAAATTATTTACGATCAAAGGATTTCTTTGGGTGTTCTAAAGGTTTCCTGTGGCGACTTGTACACAAATCGACCTTTTCTTTTTGATGGAGGACGTTTTGGGAATAGAATCAATACGATAATCAAATCTTGTTTATTTAACAATAGTCAATATAATTGCAAACGTGACAGGACTTATTGATACGGCCCGTCCAAGAAAACAAATTAAAAATCATTACAACCCAACAGAACTTATTGATATGGCCTGTTCAAAATCAATTCCACAGGACTTATTGGTACGGCCTGTCTAAATAACAATCCAAAGAAATCCACGGCTTATTTAGAGTGGAGGAGCATCCACTACTTGCAATTACTCACAAGATTTGAAGTTTGATCACAAAACAAAACAAAATAATAGTGCATCACAAGTAATATTATTACTACGAGTAAGAACTTGTTAGTTTATTAGATCAAAAGCATGTCTTTATAAAGACAGAGAACGCTTCTTTTATACAGTTTCGAATTACTACACTAATTCTACACTACTTCTAAGTTTGTATTTTACATTGATTGTTTCTCCTAAACTTTCTAAGTCATTAAACAATAATCGTTCGATGTCTTTCAATTGTCCAGATAATTATAATTGTCGTCCTCTAGATAATCACTATCGTTACGTACATTAATATTAAAGAACGATGGAGAGAATAAAATATTTTTAAATTTGGTGGAACACTAAAGCAAGGTATATAGTGGATTAAGGATTAAGTCAACTCGGATAATCTTATAATTATCCGGATTGACTTAAAACACATGACCCATATCTGTAACACATTCAATGATTGGCTGAATTCTGCATAATATCATCGCTATCAAAACAAAAACAAACAAATGTCCCTTGTTTTGTAGTTGGCCCAGTAAATTTTAGCTGGACCCTCACCAACGAAAAGAAGCGCCGAATACTCACTAACAACACCACCGACGTGAATCAAATTGGAAACTGATCGCGACCTGGAGAAATTCGCAACTTCAGCGAAACGAAAATGGCGGCCAAACTCCTAACATCTTACGAGACCGGTTTCGTACGAGTTTCTTGTGTGTGAGTATTTGACGTTTCTTTTTATTTATTGGTGGGCGTCTAGTTTCTTCATTTCGTTGGTGGCGTTGCAAATTTCGACTGGTTTCCGGTTTGGTCTCGCACCGGGTCTATACGGTATTGTTGAACGCCCATACATGATCAGATCTTTGCGATCTATAGCCCTATAATTAAGGTGAATATTTTTGCGCTTAGATCAACAAAATCGGGACAATATTGGTGGAGTTATTGGTATTCAAAGTCGGCGTATGAAAAATCGCAAAATGCCGGACGGTCCGTGGGCAACAATATCTCGCCGATCTGTGTTTAGAATTTTGCGAACTCGGGTTTGATTCGTCTAATCAAGACGAAAATTCTTTGTATTCGGACCACAAAATTGGTTGGATATTGTTGGCATTTTTCTGAGATCGTTGGTGTTGGCTAGGGTTAGTAAGAGTTCCTCGGGTGTCCAGTTTCTTTGCTGGTTTCGTCACGACCGGATCCATTGGGTTCTTTGGCGAGTATTTGATGATATTTCAGATGAAATGGGAGTCTTTGGGTGGAAGTGGTCTTGAAAACAATGTCAACAACAATCAAATTAAATTTTTAATTGTTCAGTTTATTTTTGCTATCAACCAGAAAGACTGTAAAATTGCTTGCCAACTTTATGATTAGTACTTTTAGTGTGGGTTTATTCAAAGAATGTTAAAGCTCATGCCAACACTACTATTTTTATTGGCTATTATCACATGAAACTATCTTGCTTTGTCTTGATCAAAATTATTCAGCCATTATTATTTAGCACGTGAAGTTTTTCACATGATCTGGATCCGGATCGAATTCTAAATCACATGATACTACCCGGCTTTAGTGGACCCCTAAATTTGGCATTACACAAGAAACTGATTTTGGAAGGATTATCATGTAGGAATTATCAAGGGAATTATGGGAAGATATTCATGTGGAAATTAAGAGATTTAATGTCACCACAGTAATAATACCGATACAGACACACTCTAAATGCACGCTCTAGCCTCACATTTGAAGCTATTCTTCAAATGCACGCTTGTATTAAGTAAGTTTACTGTATATAGGATTCTTATATAGTAATATATAAATATTAAAAATTCCTAGAATCAAAAGTGTCAGTCCTGTCTTCTATTGATATAGGCACAACTGTGCGTCTCTCCTCATCATCACCCGAAGTATGTAATGATGAACCATCATCATTATGTGAGCGGGGTACCCTTGGTTTGGATATAAGTTGACAACCTAACCAGTATAAAATATACCAGCAAATTGTACCAACTCCTATTACAACCAAACTGACGACATAAGGATAATAACTAAATGTTGTGTCTTTATCACTTCCACATTTTGTTTTTTCGTTGTCGTCGTCGTTGGATGTTTTGTGCTGTTCTGATTGTTGTTGTTCTTGAGACGAATCGTTTACGAAAGACCCAATTATGATAAATAGTGCGAATAATATAAATATTACGGGTATTATGGTAAGCACTCTGAATGGACGCCGTAGTTTTGGTTTAGTATAACGCAGAAACTGAAAATATTTAGTTAGAATTTTAGGCTCATTGAAAGTTTCGTCAAAAGACCGACCAATCTAAAAGAACTCACCAATAATCCTAAAGTACTCAGAAATAGAAACACCCACATGCAATGCTGACCCAACTTAATAAAGAATTTAAATGGATCGTTGTGTGGATAAAAGATAATAATCAATGAACACCAAAATGTTTGTGCTATCTGAAAATAATTAACGTTAAGTTAATTGTTTATGATTAAGAGATCAAAGAAAATAAATGATTGAATATTTTTCACCAATGCAAAAACCGGAGTATCTGTCTTTGTATTCCATTTTTGGAACCATGATGAGAAAGGAAAATAATTTCTTTTGGCGGCGGCTACAATTACTCGTGATCCAGCCCATGTGTTCGCAGCCAATGCTCCAAAAGCTGATAGACAAACGAAAAAGGATAATGCATGAGCTAAACCAAAGCCACCAACTTTGAAGGCGAATCGACCCGCAATGATTTCTGATGGTTCACTTTTACCCGTTATTTTTGACAATGGTACATTCGTATATGCGATATTAGCGCAAAGGTCTAGTATTGACAAAGCCATAAATTAGCTTTAAGAAAATATCAACATATTTCATTCGTATATTAAATAATACTTACACAGAAAAGTAACAATAATGACACTGATACTATTTGATATGAATAGTTTTTCTTGTGGATTAACGAATTCATCCAAAGTATCTAATAAAATATTTAAATTAAAAATCCTAAAGCGATTATATTAAATTTTATCACTTACAATTTAAATTATTCCAGCCATTATATGCAAACAAAATGGGAATAAGTGCAGCAGTTAAAGTGCTTGCACTAATAGTCATTTCAACAGGAAACATATTTTTCCAATTCGTGTTTTCGTCGTTAATAAACTGAGGAATTGTTGCCAGCCCAATAATCGATATCACCAGTAACGTTAACATTTTTATGATCGTGAGTGATTGATTTATTCGATTTGCCCATTTGTTAGATAACACATGGTAAATTGCGATTATCAATACCGCAGCTAACGAACAAAGTCGTAACTGCCTAATGAAAAAATTTCTAATTTAGAATGGCTTAGTAGTGTAAATTTCACGTAATGATTATTATCTCTTACCAAAATTCCCAGTTATTAAGATATCCCGTTGGATGCAGATAATTAATGTCACAACGTTCTGTTGCTTTAATTAAATATAAGAAATATTGCGCGAAAACATTTGCAATAGCACACATTGAAGCTGGACGTATTGCCACAATCATAGAAAAACTAAACATATAGCTAAAAAGCGCTCGTGGGCGAGGAAATGCTCGTTTCAAATACACAGTTTCTCCGCCTCCTTCTGGTATAGAACTTCCCAGCTATCATGTATTAAAAAATCGAGATGATAAATTAGATTGAAATAAAATAATTGTAAACATAAATATACAAATAACTACTTCGACGTAAGAAAGTGATCCAAATAAAGCGGCAATTCCACCCACTAGCCATAAAATTAATGCTATCCCAGGCGAATTTATTTCACTTAAAACTAGACCGGGACTTGAGAATATTCCAACACCAATCATGTTGTTGCAATTATTCCCGATACCAGCTAAAGTTCCTAAAAGCCTGGTTCTTCCTGACTCGTTGGTGACGCTTGACGCATCATCGTTCTTATGGTTATTATTGGTATTATCATCGTTGTCCATTGTTTTATTTATAGTAAATTATTCAAGTTTGAATTCTGAAACTTGTAAATCTGTATCGGTATAAATGTATTTTGTATTTTACATCACGCCATAATTTTATCAACTTGTTCGGACGCAAAACTCCATATCGTGTTATTGTTTAAAACTACCCTCGAAGTGATTGTGTGACATTCGATATTTTGCATCTTCTCAATCTTTTCCTTAGATGGAAGTTACTATTCAAGATACGAGTACGTACTTTCTTTTAATCCAATAAAACAATAAGAGCGCAAACCAAGCATTATAAAAGCCATTATTGATTATTTGTAATACTACTCGCTTGCGCGAGCATATCAGCGCAATAACATATCGATTTAGTTTACTTTAATTGGTCAGATTAATTATCACAATCTTTTAGAACAGATTGTAATGGGATGATGGTTTAGATTTCTAGTACATGTATAGTAACATTATAACTTCTTTTTAGAGTTTTCCATTTAACAAATTTTGAATTCATTTACCTATTTTTGCCATTTTCTCGAAAAGATAAGAGTTTTTTTTCGTTTATTTACAGTTACAGTCCGAACTTGACATAATGGCTACCTGGCATATTGATAATGACTTAAAATGATAAATTTTGAGTTAAAAAAATCAACTCAATGTAAGGATTTTATTTTATATACTTCATTTTGATTATTCATAAAATACCATCTAAGTTATTATTAAATACATGTACCTGTAAACAATATTTATTTACAGGTACACATGTTTGATAATAGCTTAATTGAAGAGATACATGTATAACAATAAATGGGTGTGACCATCTCGTTCTATTGAGGTTCGACTGTAATCACAAATATTAAATCGCTTATAAATTTGTAATTACGTATCTTGTCTGAACGTAGATTTTTCGATGAATTTGTCAATGTACTTTGTAATCAATATTGTGGAGATCGAAGTCGAATTTGGAATTTATTTTAGGTATTTTTCTTCGATCAGGTTGAATTATCAAAAAGCTAAAACTTAAACAGATTGTTCTGAATGATATTCTAAATACATGTACATGTATAATCAATATGAAAAATACCTAAATTGAAAATGTTAGATTTTTCACATCACAAGTACCACAGAGCAGAGTTACAGTATCACAAGAGATTCATACTGTATTTACTGACAGAATTAGTCTTTGTTAGCTTTCCTTTTTTATTTTCATTTGCATTTTTCATTTGTGTTTATATTTGTATTTGTATTTGTATTTGCATTTGCATTTTTACAATTTTAGATTTTTGGTATACTATCGTATAGCACTGCATAATAGAAATTTAAACTTTAATTTAGTCCGATTCTTAGTAAAACTACATGTACGTGATTGCTTTTCGGCCAAATAAATAATTCAAGATTCACGGTGCAGTTTCCATATTTTTTCACTGATACAAAGCACATGACAAATACGTGGTAGGAGTTTTAGTCTTTAGCGTTAGGGTCAGTGTAAGGGTTAATGTCGGAGTTGAGGTTATATGTAAAATTGCTTCTCCAATATTTTTAATTAGTAAGCTAGATTTATGTATCTGCTTTCCGTATTTTTCACGCTTTATTTTCTTGCGTCGGATTTGTTTGCCGGTTTGACCAAAAATTTACGCTCTCTTATTGGCTTATGCTACCCGGAATACCCATTCCGGGAATGTTTAAAATCGCTAATAATTTGTTCAACTTCAATATCGATATCAACAGTATATATTCTCACATCCTTATGAATTGATACATTGAAAATTTTCTGTCAAATAATAACTGTTAAAAAAGCGTTATAATAAGAATTCTCGTAAAAATTTTGTATCAAACAAGAATTAAATTATTAAAGACGTGACATTTGTTTAATTTAAATAGAATTTACCAATGATCATTTTCAACTATTTTTTGTCTTAAATTATAAAATTGGTAATTATCATGTAATAAATATTGAGTTTTACACAGAATTTTTTGTTAAAGAATAGAATACATAGATTTCAAGAGTATTTTTAGTAGTGCGCAATTGTGTACAAAATAATGCATTACGTAATTATATCAAAAAATGTCGAAATCTATAAATTTTTGAAATATTACAATAATTCAATGTTTCAGAATGCTCTAATCGCCACCTATACTTTTAGTAAACTTCGGATTAGAATAGTGGATGGTAGATTAACCAATATCAGAACTTGTAGTCGATATACGAGAGTTATAACCTGTAGTAGATGAATTCAAGAGGGAAACTGGAATTGCAGTGGTAATAGTGATTACATATGCGAAGAGCATGAAGAAAATACAAGAAATTACAGAAAGATTAAATTGCATTCTTTTAGAATTGAAATGGTAAATTGAGAGATGATAAAAAGTATGGATTTTTTTCAGTAGAAAAAATCATATATTCTAAATATTCGTAAAGACATATATACATTGTTATCTTACTATAATTAAAATAACTTCTTGATATTTTGTTGGTTGAATTGTTTGATTTCTTTAACGTTAAATAACGATCTAAAGAATTGGACAGAGTTCTATAAAACTAATTGGTTTTCTAAAAGAATGCATTTGAATATCTAACTTCCAAATTCAAATATTAAAGAGAAACACAAACAGATAATACGCTAAATCATAGATTTGTCAGTTATTGGTCTTGGAGCTTTGATCACACATATATCCTTCTGCTGCCTATGTACGTATATGTATTAAGACTGCGACAGCGATAAATAGAATGAACAATTTACATTAAATTTTCATACCTCCCTTTTTTCGGAGATATGACGCCACTATTTGTTGCTGTATGCTGTCAGACAGTTGTCTACACTAATTCTTATGTGTCTCTGTCGCGACAATGTGTTTCAAAAAATGACATTCAGCAAAATATATTGTGAGTACAGTCTTCTTCATCTATAGTCACCTTCCGTATAATCACTCACCCAAAGTCGCACTGTTCCTGGGCCGCCCAGTATGTGACCTTTAATAAAAACCCTTATATAAACGGGGACGAATGTATATGTGATTGGTACTTAATATTATATTTTTATTTTTTTTAATTTTATTAGTTGTCTGACTGGCGTGTTTTTATCTCAGACACATAAAATCTTCAGTAATTTAAAGTTAAGTCATAAGAGAAATCTTAACCTAGAAGGATTGGAAAATAAGAAATAAACACGTCATAATAAATACTTTGACTAATAGTGACACTATTTTATATAAACTGGACAAGAAAATATCGTTATGAGTTTCGGTATATGGAACTTAATTTTTTTTATTGAGATAAGAATTTTATCGCTAATATGATAGCAATCCCAATTTTGACTGTAATAATGTTAATATTTCGCCTACTCAAAATTTTCAGTGAATTATAATTTGTAGTTAATAAATGTCTTCACTCTTTACAGTTAGACTATTTACATAATTATCGTTATCGTTATATTTCGTTATAAGGAAAATACTAAAATCAGTGATTAACGTTAACACACGAATTTATTTAGAGCAAGAAATAATCAAACAAACATGCGCGTATTGGTACGTTTATATCGACATCAAAATATAATCTAATCACAAAAACATTTGAAATAATCAATGCTATCTTGGAAAAAGTTTCATAATGCGACACTTTTTGTCAAGAAAATAAGTGCCGTTCAAAATATCAACTTTATAAACATAAATGGTCTAGTGAAAACAAAGATGTTGGTATTAATTAAATTTTATACTCATGCATTGGCGTTCCAATTAAGTGTTATTACCCGACTTGATATTTAGTATTGTGAAATTCTATTAACTTTTGATAGCGTTAAAGCAATTTGTAAACTTATTTAATAAACAGTTGCTTCATATGAAGCTGCCAGTTAGTCCAGTCATTCAAAAAGTTCAAGCTAGCCCATCAAGCTGTATAAATTTTATCAGCTGGCTCAGCTGTTTGGTTTATAATGTAAATAAGAATTTTATTTTGGAGGTGATTTCAATAAACGTATTCTGATAATATCAAGCTAATTAAGTATTTTTATGAATCATAAAAACATTTTCGGGACAAAATAATACAGTATAAGATATTGTCATTTCTGTTTTATTTTTTGGCCGTCACTATATGCATTAAGCTTAACTAGTATTCTTATATCTGTTAACGTTATAATTATCATTATTATGAATAAATATATTTTAATGCGATACAGAAACTTTTAATCGACAATAGGTTTCATGTTAAAATTCTAACAACTTCTTAACTAAGAATTAAATTCGGTAATATTATCAAGAAAGACCTTTTCTACAATAGTACCGTTTAAATTTTGGATTTACTTCTTAGTTAAGAAGTTGATAGAATTTTTAACATGAAACATATTGTCGATTTAAAAGTTCCTGCATCATAGTAAAACTTCACTTGAATAAAAATAGAATATTTTATTCAAATTGTTAAGATATATGCTCAATGAATAGGAAGTTGAATCAAAAATGTAAAGAATTCAAATCTAGGATTAGTTATAATGTAATAAAAAATAATAATTCCTTAACGCTAATGAAAAATCTGAAATTTATATAAAAAATATTTTCCAACAAATTCATCATAATAATATAAATTTATTTCTCTACCACTTGAACCCCTTCATAATCCGCAATACAAAAATTCTTCTGTGTACTGTCAGAACCCAACAAACCATGGTCGTAAGAGGATTTCCTACAGAAATTCGCAGATGCATTAAAATCGGGACCAACCAGAGCTAAATCATTATCTCCAAAAAGTGGACCATGACCTTTATAACACCTCACACTCGAGCCTTGTTGATATTTGTTTAGAACACCACCATTGAATGTCATAAGAATTAAATTCAAATAAAAAGCTATTTGAACATATGCAGTATTTTTCAAGTGGATTCCATTGGAATGAATTGTAACCACCAATAATATTTTCTTCATTTTTTACGCGAATGATAACAACCGTTGGACCTTTATTACCACACAGACGATGAAAGTCGGTATTCTTAAATCCATCACGACTACCTCGCAGTAACAGCTTCCATTCAATTGATTTATTTTTTTGTTTAACGTCTTGTTCTTTAATCCAGCCAATTATTTTTGAGATCTGATTCGGCGAAAGAAGAATTGAAGAGAGTTTGCGAACTGGGTGTAAGGTAGCCTTATGGTCTTCACTTCCTGGCACCAAATAATGGTGTAATAAATCTTTATATAGTGTTCCCGGTAAAATTTTGGCATATGGCATAACTTTGTTATAAAATCAACCGAATTGATGTGGAAGAAACGAATTAATGGTAAACAATTTTTGAGCGTAGATTTAAGTTGTTTAATTTCGTCATGTGTCAATTTTTCTATTGGAAGCGTTAGATCGCTTTCGATAGAATCTGCAGATTGGGAGATTCCCCATTCAAGTACCTTTTCCCAAAGGTCGATTTCATTCAAATTTAGAACATCACGTTTGAGTATACAAACTAATACTGATTCATTTAGCTTGGTAAAATCAGTTGATTGAAAAATAGCAGCTGGATTTTGACATGCGACATCTGTGCAAAATTTTTGAAGTTCGGTAAAGGAGTCATACTCGAATGCAATTTGACTGATTAAGGTAAAACTCTGTTAAAGATTCAGAATGGCGTTCGATAAGATAAATTTAATCAGATCCATGAGAATCAACTCATCGGCTGCAACTAATAAATCTAAAAGTGTCGAAACGCCATGATTTTGCAAATAAATTTTTCCACTGTAAATATATCTATTGAAATTAACACAGACAAATTTTCATTATTACTTTTATTTCGTAGTATCGCTTCATTTTTGACATGAAATTACCTTAGCATCATTTCAAAAACTTGCGGTTCGATATTTGGTTTCTTAAAGACAATCATCTTGTTCGGCTCTCGTTTCACCCATGCATCGGAAGGTGCTGCCGCAAAATATTTTGACTGCGCCACCAAGATTGCCGAGTGTGCTGAAAAAGTACGTTGAGCATTCTTGTTTTCACCAACAATAATCGAAATGTCACAATAGTTGGAATTTTCATAGAATTTATCGAGCCTGTTTGAATGTGAAGTTAATAACAATTCGGGTGTCATTTTTTATTTAGTTTGACAATAATTATTAGTTTTTTCTCTAAGCGTTAGAAAGCAAGCGTATTGGAAATCTAATTTTAAAATATAACTACCGCTACGTACGTATAAATGGATTTGACTGTATCGATCGGTATCGGTATGACAAATAATCCAATCTGCATTACGTATCGGTATAAGAACATGTATATATATCGATATATGATCAAACTGTTCCATTGATAGAACAATTCCAATTCAGATGGTCAATGTCCAATTCTAATGACAACCCTGGTTGCCCAATAGGGATCAGCTGACATATGACCAAGAATCTGTCAATTTAACGTTAATTTTTTCTCTCCATTTACATTATTTCGACATTATATTAATGTTAAATTGTATTATCTCTATTATACATGTACATATAATAGTTTATATTTGTGTATTCAATACAGTACAGTATTTTCTAAAAAAGTTGGGCGCATTCATTGCAAAAGCACAATGAAATTGGATGCATGAATGTGTTACAATTTGCGTTTGTTCTCGTATGTAGTGCAGTTTTGTCAATACGTAACGTTCATCCGAGAAAATGTCATATTGGTTAGTAAATTCATCAATAAAAAAGTATCGGGCATGGAGCGTTTAGTGAAGTTTTTAAAGCTGATTTGAAAAATGATGATTGAAAAGTGGCTTTGAAGTGTCTTTTTATCAAAGAAAATGCTGAAGAAGCAATTTATTAAAGAGGTACTTAAATATTCAAATAAAGATTGCGAATTTTACACTTGACTTTTTTTTAGCTAAAAGTTCTTATTAGAATTAATCCCCATAAAAATATAATTCAAGGTAAAACAATAAATTAATTCAATTAAATAATTTCACTAGACCCAGATTCTCAAAAATATATGCTTGTTTTGAAGTATGCTGATGGTGGAACTCTCAAGGATTATTTGAAATATAATTTTACACGTATGGACAAATTATCTTTAGCAAAGCAACTTGCGAGAGGACTGCAGTGTATTCATGAAGAAGGAATTATTCATCGGGATTTAGTAAGTTTTTAGGAATAATATTTTAAATTTTCAGGTTGATTCAAATCTAATGTTTATATTATTTATACCTTTTGTTAATAGAATCATAATAATTTTCTTATTCATAAGGGAAAAATCAAAATCTCAGACTTAGGCTATTCAAAAACTCTCTGATGACGATTTCATACGAAAACTGAATTCGGATTAGCATGCCGAATAATAAAGTTGGCTATTTCCTTTGCACTTCAACAGAGAAAGAAAGTAGCGTTGATGGAACTCCAGATAGATATGTAGAATTATACGAAGCATGTAGGGATGAAGAACCAGAAAATCATAAAGTTAACGAGCAGCTAAAAGAAATCGAACGGCCATCTACTATGGACATTCGCGTTGTAGTGGGCATAGGTGAGACGCGCTAAAAGAATAACAATTGATGTTACGAAAAATTGCGCTCATACGGCGTAATTGTGCACGTACTCGATAAATTTGGAATTAACTTATTCATTTATTTTTGATTTTTTGAAATCATAGATTTTGGAACAACTTATTCGTTAATATGTCTTGTGCTGAAGTTGCCGAAATTTAATTTTTCTAAAGCTTCCACGTTCTCGTTACCTAATAACTCTTTTCTCATTTGTGATAATAATTATCAAGAGTTTTGCGTATGCTCACGTTCAAGCTAGCGATGTTATCACTAATGACGATTGGCCTGGAAGGAAAGGACCATTGAAAATCACTATATTACAATATGATGAAGATTTCACGTGGAATTCTCAAGCTTTAGTTGGCAAACCTCAGAGGCGTCGAAAGAAAACTGCGACAAACTCACCAAAACTCATCGAACTTTCAAGTTGCACTTAGATAACATTCTAGAGAACAAAAAGTAATACTCCCTCCATCACTGATTAGCTTCAAGAAATGGATATAACGCTCAACAGGTAACCCACGCCCTTTTAACCAAAAAAATGAAAAAAAGAAAGAAAAGAAAAGAAAAGAAAAAAAGAAAAAAAGAAAAAAAGAAAGAAAAAGAAAAGAAAAGAAAAGAAAAAAAAAGAAAAGAAGAAAAGAAAAAAAGAAAGAAAAGAAAAAAAGAAAGAAAAGAAAAAAGAAAAAAAAAGAAAAGAAAAAAAGAAAAGAAAAGAAAAAAAGAAAAGAAAAGAAAAAAGAAAAAAAGAAACAGAAGAGAAGAAAAGAATCATCATCGTAATCATCAGCATCAGCAACCTCAGCATCAGCATCAACATCAGCATCAACATCAGCATCAACATCAGCATCAACATCAACATCAGCATCAACTCAGCATCAACTCAGCATCAGCATCAATCATTATCATCAATGATATCATTGTGATCAAAGATCGATTTATGATATTGCAGAAAGCTCTCTGTTCTCCT